GTTTGGACATGATGGTCATAGCGTTGTCAAGGAAATAACAAGATTTTTGGCCAAAAATGCATAAAAAGTGACCATTCCCCCCCCCCTTAACTTCTAAACTATTCAACATTGAGGGCTAAAATTTGGCATAGGGGAGACTGGGGCGAAAAGTTAAACTGCCAAAACCGTTAAAATTCATTATCTTTCGAACGGGAATAGTTAGAGCATTGCAATTTTAATTATAGAAGGGTGTTATCACCCTAAATAAATGTCCGGAGTTGTGTGCAATTCTGTTAATTTTTGTGGTGTCTATATTGAAAGTTTTTTTTCAACCTACTTTTGAAAATTTTTTCGAAAAAGAAAATATCAACTTTTAAGTATATTTTTTGCATTTATCCTCACCGCGATTTTTTTACTTCATTATTTGGGTCCCCTGAAGAGATACCTGAAGGTATTTGCTAAATATCTTTAGTCAGATTTTTTATATTTGTTTTTAAAGCCAAAAACGCACCATGGGGCGAAAAGTTAAATAATGGGTGGGGCCAAAAGTTAAATGTATTTTTACATGTTGTTAAAATTTTTTTTTATTTTTCGTTTTTTTGGGTTTATTTGTTTCAAAATTATTCATTTGACATTAGACAAGTACTCTGTCAAAAAACAAGACCGTTTACGTGAAATAAACCAAAATTTTTTTTTTTTTTGAAATTTCAATTTTTTAACTTTACAACTATTCTAAAGCTTTTGTTAAATAAACAAAGATCTTTTATTTACTAAATTACTTGTTTACGTATACTTTAACTTACCTACTACTTATCACCTATCAGAAAATAGTTTTAGTAGGCTAAAAATAGAATTTAACTTTTCGCCCCAGGGTGGGGCGAAAAGTTAAAAAAAACAAAATTTTCAAAAAAGGACAAAACAAGTATTTTTTGCGAAAATATCAGGAACTTTTTTATTGAAAGTTGTAGAGGACAAGTTGCCCTACAATATTGATATACAAATATTTGCATCTAAGCGGATTATATTGCCAAAAAAAAATCATTTATGCAAAATTTAACTTTTCGCCCCAGTCTCCCCTACTGGTGTATTTTGTCGCGAATATTACAGGAAAAATATAGAGAACTTGCTATGTATTAATGTCCATAGCGTTGTCAAGGAAAAACTAAAAAAAAATTTGAATTTTTTTTTTCTAATTTCTACATTATTTGATCTAATTAACTAAAAATGGGTTTATTAGTCTATTTTTACAGTCTGATCACAAAAAATATATTTAAAAATCTAAAAAAAAAATTAAAAATTTTTTTTTTTAGATTTTTTAACAAAAAATTTTTTAAAATTAGTTCCTCTACTTATTATTGTTTACAATATTAGATATATACCATACTTTAATTTTTTTATTTATTTTTTTATCAAATGATATTAATATATTTTTTTAATTGTTTATTTTAATTCTACCAATTACCGATAAATGTTGCAAGTATTGTTTTAATATTTGTGTACGGAACCCGCCATTGCAGTGCGAGTTCAACTCGCACTTGTCCAATTTTGTACTTTTTCAGTCTCTCCATTTCTTTTAATAGTAACTGTGTCCTTTTTATTTGGCATTATTCGACTATTTTGGTCACACTCGTAGAAATTTTGCACCTTCTTAACTGTAAGCTATTGTAAGTATTGATAATCGTGAAGGATCGTTTTCAGGAAGAGAAGCAAATTTCTCTTTAAGGCCACATAATAATTCTTCTAATTCATCTTCTCTTGAGAGACATTTTTTTAAGTGGTGGTTCATCAGATTTACTTGAATTCTCGACTGAATTACCTTGGTTACATCTTGTTCTAAATTCGTAACATATCCTAGCGTTCTGAGAAATTTGAGGAAATTACTTCAATAACGCCTTCGATATATTTCTCAAACCTGATCCCTTATGCTTTTCTCGATTAAGGGGATTGATGCATCTATCTCCGTGGTCTAAACCACCAAAATGTTCTTTACTCTCTGCCATGATACAGAATAAAATAAGGTACTAAATCTGTGGATAAAACGGTTTATCTTGGTGGAAAACAAAAACGAAATAAATAATGAAAAAATTTAACGACAGAAAAATAATTCCAAACTTGTGCAATATAATTCACCTTAACAGGAAACGAATTATATTATGATTTGAAAAATATCATGTAACGATCCAAATCGTTTTCTTACTTTTCTTTAAATATGCCATTTTCTGATTGTTTCCCCAATTCATAATTTATCGCGCTAGGCGTTAGTCTAATAGCTACTGCGACCACCGGTCGTTAAAAGACTTATAAATTCGGGTGTCATCGGACCAAAGACGAATGGTCTTATGGTTACGATGACGATTACGTGAAAATTCTCATCAGAGAGAAGCGTGCCTTCGTACACCGAAGAGATCTACGAGATCTCTTTTTGTAAACGTGGAATAACGCGTGTAAGTGTGTGTGTGCATATTGCGCTTCGACGCATAGTTGTAACGCGCTTTATAGATAATTAAATATCTTCTTTTTAATTATTTTTGTTTTATTGTGTTTGTTGCCATCATTAGGAATATCATTTATAGGACAACTTTTGCGCTGCATCATTTGGTAAGTTCGCTCAATCTTCTCTATCTCGTCTATTGGTCTCGTCTTCGTAAACCGTTTTATCCACAGATTTAGTACCTAATTTTATTCTGTATAATGGCAGAGAGTAAAGAACAGTTTGGTGGTTCAGACCACGGAGATAGATGCATCAATCCCCTTAATCGAGAAAAGCATAAGGGATCAGGTTTGAGAAAAATATCGAAGGCGTTATTGAAGGAATTTCCACAAATTTTTAGAACGCTAGGATATGTTACGAATGTAGAACAAGATGTAACCAAGGTAATGCAGTCGAAAATTCAAGTAAATCTGATGAACCACCACTTAAAAAAAATGTCTATCGAGAGAAGATGAATTAGAAGAATTATTATGTGGCCTTAAAGAGAAATTTGCTTCTGTTCCTGAAAACGATCCTTCACGATTATCAATACTTACAATAGCTCTTAAATGTTGGAGTATTCGTCAGATTGCTTCCGAATTTGGTAGTTCTGAAAGACAGTCAAAAAAAGCAAAGCTTTTGAGAAATGCTGAGGGAGTTTTTGCAATACCTAATTCAAAAAAAAGGTAAAGTATTATCCGATCTTACAGTTAAGAAGGTGCAAGATTTCTACAAGTGTGACCAAAATAGTCGAATAATGCCAAATAAAAAGGACACAGTAACTATTAAAAAAATGGAGAGACTGAAAAAGTACAAAAACGACTTCTACTTTCGGATATTAAAGTCTTGCACACACAATTCAAAGAAGAATATCCTGAATTCCCTATAGGACTGACAAAATTTGCAGAAATTCTTACAAAGAATTGTGTTTGTGCTGATCCATCAGGCACACACAGTGTTTGCGTTTGCGTCATTCATCAAAATTTCAAAATGATGATTGACGTTGTAAATTTTAAAAAATTGACAAGTGACTCAGACATCAAAATCGAAAGCTACAAAGATTGCTTTAAATTGAATTTGTGAAAAAATCCTCAACCATCTTGTTTTTTTCTGGAATTTAATTCATGTCCCGGGGTTGCAAATTTCACTTCAAAAATTACGTCTATTTTGGAAGAAAATGATATTTCTGAAATCATTTGTAGTTTTTGACAATCAACCGACAGATGCAATTTGAAAAAATTATGCTTTTCTGTAGAAGATTATGTCCAAACTCTATCAAATGATTTCGAAAAGTTTTCCCAGCACCATTTCATTTCGAAAAATCAGTCGAACTATTTTAAATTCAGAAAAGATACTTTGAATGATGATAAGGTAATTCTGCAGTGCGATTTTTCCGAAAACTATGCTTATGTTGTTCAGGATGCTGCACAAGGATTTCATTATAACAATGATCAGTGTACAGTCCATCCCGTAGTTTTTTATTATAAGCATGAAGGCGAATTGAAACACTACAGCATAATATTACTGTCTGATTCTAACAGTCACGACACATCTGCAGTTTATTTTCTACAACAGACAGTAATACCCATCATCAAAAAGGTTTGCCCAAGGGCAAGTAAAGTCATTTATTTTAGTGATGGTGGGAAGCAGCACTATAAAAATCGCTACCAAATTGTCAATCTCGTACACCACAAGGAAGATTTTAACTTAGAGGCAGAGTGGCATTTCCATGCAACAGCACATGAAAAAGGCTCATGTGATGGCATAGGAGCTATTTTGAAAAGAGAAGCCATTCGGGCAAGCTTGCAAGCCACATCTGATAAAGCCATTTTAAATGCAGTCTTTACCAATAGGCTAAGCAACATATTAAGACTTCGCAGATTTTCTTTTACAACAAGCAACAACACGATAGAGTGAAACGACAACTTGCTAGTAGATTTTCTCGATCACCTGCTGTTACAAAAATCCAATCTGCACATTCTTATATTGTAACACCACAAAAAAAATTAAAAATATTTAAATATTCAAATGCACCTCATCCTATTGCAGTTATGCAATATTAAAATAAAATTACATTGATTAGGATTTATTTTATAAATCTATTTCAAACGGCCTTTTTTAAGGCCACCAAATTATTACAGTTTAATAATTAAAACAATCGGCCTTTATCAAGGCCACAAAAAAATTATATTGGATTTGGCGTTCTGAATTTAAAAAAACTGACTTCTGATTCGTAATCAGTGACCTCGAAAACCCCCGAGCAACAAGTTTCAAGCAAATTTAATTAATTTTTTAAAAATTTGTCCGCTATTTTGGGTCCGACATTTTGAATTTTGAAAAACTGACTTCAGATTCGTAATCAGCAACCTCGAAAACCCCCGAGTGAAAAGTTTCAAGCGAATTCAAGAAATTTTTTAAAATTTTTCCGCCATATTGGATTCAATATGGCCAATCGCCATTCAGTTTTATTTGACTTGGAAGATTGATAGTTTTCTTTTAATTTATAAATGCATTTTCTTTTCTAGATATAAAATAGCAATTTTTTTTACAGGTACTCGTGTCTTGGAAGGAATAATTCCCATATGTAATAAACCACAACATTGTTCTGAAATTGATTGTAAACTGGAATGTCAAGACGGCTTTGAGCTGAATTTAGAAAGTGGTTGTCCTATTTGTTCTTGCAGAGATCCTTGCAAAAAAGTAACATGCCGTGGTGAAAACGAGGCTTGCAGAATGGTAGAGGTAGCGTGTAGTGTTTCCCCATGTCCTCCAGTTCCTGTTTGTTTACCAAAAAAAGAAAATCCTTGCCCAAATGGAACTCCTCTTATTGCTCAAAATAGTATGCCTGCGATTTGCGGCCCACATGGACGTCACTGTCCTTCTACTCATAAATGTGAACTCTCTCCGCTTGATGAATATGCTTTTTGCTGTCCAAAACCTCGTGATATATGTTTTGAACCTCCTCAAATAGAACCATGTTCTGGTCAAAGTCTCAATGAAACTCAACGATGGTATTTCGACCCAGAACTTAACGAATGTCGTCTGAAGAAAGAATGCAGTATTGGCCATAATGATTTCTCCAGCAAACAAGTTTGTGATATTGTCTGTCCAGTACTCTCTCCATGCGAAAAGTTACGTGAAACAAATTTAAGAAATTCACAAAGACTTAGGCGGCCTACATTTTTGCCAAGGTTTGAATATTAATATTATTTTATCCAAAAAATAAGCGAATCATAAATAGTAAATTTTACCAATTAAGGTATTACTACACTTTAGAAGGCTCTTAGCATTTGAGTATTCAAAGTTTTCCGATTCTCACCGCGAGAAGGTGAACGAATTTATGAACAGCTCGTTAAAATACTGTAACAGTAGTTTTAAACAAGTCCATACAGAAAAATAAAAATTATTTATCACCAATTCTAATTCAGAAACATTAAAAATCAAATAGCAAAAACACTTTAAATAGTAAACAAAAAATTATAAAAACTTAAGAAAAATAAAAACGTTAAAAAGAAAGAAAATGATTTTTAAATTTGTCCACCTTCTCGCGGTGAGAAACGGAACAATTTGAATACTCAAAGGCTAAGGGCGTTTAAAATAAATCCCCAATTTTTTTATGAGTTGTCCTATACCTTAGTAATTTATTTATTTATTTATTAATAAACGGGACCAAGCCCTTTTGTACATTTGTACTCTTACAATCTAAAGTTAAATGTACAACCTATATATATTTGTTTTAACAATAAAGCTAGGTGGCTGGTAAGTAATAACTAAAATTAATCAAAAGCAAAAATTGCACATAGTACTACAACAATTCAATTATACAATAATGCCCATAAAGATGCAGTAAAACTGGCAATACTAATTTCAAAAAAATTTACATTATCAAAAATTGAATTTGCCTCTCTACTGAGTCTACTTATTAAAGAAATATAACCATAATTCGTTCTATGATAAGGTACAATAAAAACAGAATAGTATTTACTTGATCTCACAGGAACATTTAAATGAATTAATGACAATAAATGTGGACATTGAATTAATTCATTTAAAATGTTATAAAAAACAACATGTCAGAGAAAAGGAACCTAGACACGTCGCATAACAAAACCAAGAGACCTCAGAGCTCTTGAAACCACCTCAGAGATATGTTCATTTAAAGAGAGATCACTACTCAGAAGTATTCCCAAATCACGGATACTAGTTACCCTGTCTAAATCATTTCGACAAATGGGGTAGAGATAATTCAAGGTAATACCCTTAGAAAATGAAATTACAGAACTTTTGTTCATGTTTATTGGCAAATGATTATCCCCACACCACTCTTTGAGACGATCCAAATCCATCTGAAGGCTAAGAGAATCATTACAAGAATTAATGCGACTTATTAATTTATAAATTTTTAAATCATCAGCAAACAAAAGAAAAAGAGAATTTTTAATAGCATGTTTAACATCATTTATATGTATTTATTTATTTGTTTATACACTCGTCTTAAGCCTACAATCTTGGCTATACAAGTGTTTGTTTACATCTCGTAAATTTCTCTTACAAATATTTCTTATATACATTTTCCTTAATACTAAATTTTGCGCCTACAGAGCGACTTGAAAATTAGGAGTACTTGCATTTGCCTGGACCACCCGTCTAATGGGTTTTCTCGCCAGTGGAGAGGGAAACTGTAGAAAACCTCTTCTGAGTACAACCGGTTTATCGACAGTCGAGTTCTAATGGTGTGTACCGGACAATAATCGACAGTGCACATCATTATACCTCGACGTCAAACCTCCCGCTCAGATTGTCTCACGTGCCGGAAAAATACCAAGCCGAATGGGCGCGAACCAAGGGTAAGTACCCTTAAATGACCGCTAAGCGAGGCATCTATCCGACTGAGCTAATCTGTCGGTATTCATTTATATGTATTACAAACAATAGTGGTCCAAGGTGTGAGCCCTGAGGTACACCAGAGGTAGCTAAAAAAGAATAAGAAATCACATTGTCAACCCTTACCACCTGATATCTATCAGAAAGATAACTTTTAAAGAATAAAATTAGATTTTCAGACACACCCAAAGATTTAAGTTTATTTATTAAGATACGATGATCAACTTTATCAAATGCTTTCGAAAAATCAGCATGAATCGCATCAATTTGAAAGCCCTTTTCAAGGTTAGTGGTCAAATAATTTATAAAAATTCCAAGATTTGTTACAGTCGACTTATTTTGGATAAATCCATGTTGCTCTTCGATTATCACATTTGAGACAGACGAACATAATGAATCAAATATTAAACTCTCAAATATTTTTGGGATAGCACTAAGTATTGAGATAGGTCTATAATTTTCAACATTATTTTTATCATTACTTTTATATACAGGAATAATTATAGGGGAGAGTCTCCAGTTGTGAGACACCTCTAGTTGTGAGACAGTCAATTTTTTTTAACATGCAATATTAAAAAGCCGATTAGATTATATAAAAACATTTATTTTTATATGAGCCAACTTTTTCGTGTACGCCGAAGCGGATATATAAACTGTTTTTGTTAAATACCAACACTGTGTGTGATAATCGACTAGAAAGCGTTTTTTCAATAAATACAAAGTACTTTTTTTCTAAGTTAATTAATTGGAAAAGGTAAATGTAATGCATTTTCTTTTAGTGTTTTCCTTATATTTTGTGATGCAATATTGCATTGTTCCAATCTACGGTTGAAAATAATTTAATTTTCCTTTTTCAAAATAGCGCCAATTTCTGGGTGAGAGACACAGCATATCACCAGTTGTGAGACGGTGTCAACACCCATCTGGGCAGCATAAAAAATACGACTTTGCAGGCATACTATTTAAATGTTGTTTTGATTTTTTTCTAGTATTTTTGGGCATGTCAAGTGGAAAAAAGTCAATTGATTCAGAAGAAATCAATTTTAATGCTCTTGTTCAAGCTATTAAATTGTGTTTATTTGATAGTCATATTTTGGCGAATAAATATTATTATTTAGTATATAATAATATATATTATTAATATATTTAATTATTTCTACTAAACATAACGTTTTATGTCAAACTTATTAAATTTTAGCAATTTTTAATGAGTGTCTCACAACTGGAGACATTTTTTTTTTTGAAAAAAGCGATGTGCTCGGAAAATGTATCGTAAAATTTTTTAAGTTCATCGAAACACTATACTTTCTTTTAATAAAAGTTGCGTATTTCTGTTACCTTTCGAAAGGTGTATTTTATTAACAATTTCGTTTACCCGTTTACAATTTACGGGTCAAAAATGAAACCCGTCTCACAACTGGAGACTCTCCCCTAGCCTTCTTCCATTCGAAAGGAAAAGTGCAACTAAGTAGAGACCTTACTTACCAAATATTTTTGAATTTTATCAAAAATTATCAGAAGGAGGCGGGGGTAAAAGTTTTGACTTTTGATGCGACACGCACTACTTCATTTATTTATTGTATATAAATGAAACAATGCAAAATAGTTTTCGAAAATAGTTTTTTTAGATTTTTTCATCAGCTTTCGATTGCCGTAGTCCATTTTAGAAAATTTTCGATTTTGACAAAAATTTTTGAAAATTAAAGATAAAATTCAAATTCGCCATTTTGAATTTTTAAAATATGACTTCAGATTCGTAATAAGCTACCTAAAAACCCCCAAGTAACATGTTTCATGCAAATTCAACAACTTATAAAAATGTTATCCATCCTGTGTTAAATTTAAAAAAAAAATTTATTTTTAGACATTTTAAATTAAAAAAAAACAAAAAATCTTAAATCACAAAGGATATTTTTAAACTAGAATTATCGGAAACACGTTTTGTATACCTTAGGTGAATTGGAAAAATCAATATCACAACTAAAATTGGATCTAAAAAAATTACTTTTTAAAATTTTGTAATTTTTGAGTATTTGTGCGACCCTAAAAACATGGATATGTGCTTGCAGAATTTTTAATAATAATTTTTTTCTAATATAATATTAAGAGCTTGAAATCGAAGTTAAAAATCAGCACATTTGGTCGTTAAAGAATTAACTATTAAAATACCGACCAAATACGATTAAAATTAAAAATACCATAAATAACACTGGTCGACAAGATTAAGGTTTTTTCTTGCTACAAGAATAAACAAAAGTGATTCTTACAGAATTTTTGACGTAGATTACGAATCTGTAAGTAAAATTATCCCATCACGTCTCAATTTTAAGAAAAACTGGGTCAAAGTGATAAAAAATGGCATTTTTGGCACTTTTTGAAGCACAATAAAAAAGAACGCGACGTGATAAAAAGCTCAAATATGGCTTAAATGAGAGCTCAAACCCTCAACTTTAACAACCAAAAGCAAAAATCTATGTAAAAAGAATTCAAAATTGTAGGGAACAACTTTTTACCAATTTTACCCTATATGATCGCTAAACTAATAGCTGTTTTATGCGCATGCGGTAAAAAGTTGTTCCCAACAATTTTAAGTCATTTCTAAAGGGTTTGTTGCTTTTGGATGTTAAAGTTGCAGGTTTGCACTCTAAATCTGAATCAGTGAAAATTTCACTGATTTCAATTCAGTGGCCCAGTTTTCTTTGATGAATCAGTGGAATTTCACTGAGAATCAGTAAAAACCACTGATTGTCAGTGAAATCCCACTGATGAATTAAAGAAAACTGGGCCACTGAATTGAAATCAGTGAAATTTTCACTGATTCAGATTTAGAGTGTGAGCTCTCATTTAAGCCACATTTGAACTTTTTATCACGACGCGTTCTTTTTCTATAGAGGTTCAAAAAGTGCCAAAAGTGCCATTTTTTGGCTTTCCGGTAGTCTAAATATGCTAAAATGACCTCCTGCACGTAATATTAGACTATGATATTACACGGTTAAATAAAATACATGACAATTTCAATAAAGTTTATATCCAATTATGTAGCAAGAGAAATTTCTCAAGCTTCATCATTAGATACAAATTTCATTGCAATGTTTTTAATAATCGTGTAATTGTTTGTTTTAAATTGTTTAAATGTTCAAGCTTAAAGTTTGAATTCAAATTTTATTGACAGATACCATAATAAAAATACCCATACGTGTTCCTAGAAACTCCTACACAGAATCCTATGTGGTGTTAAGTAATTTGTGTTCCCATATATGTTCCGAGATATGTTCCCACTTTTACTTTTCTATAAATTGTAGAGAGA